TGATTATTAATAAAATTTAAAATTGTGTTAAAAAATATTGTGAGAGTAAGGAGAAGAAAAATGGAATGATAGCAGTAACAGAAACACACAATTATGATCTAGCCTATGAGAAATTCAAAAGATATTTTAAAATTGATAATAAAAAATTAGGATAGCCCATTATTTAGTATTACAGACAGTTTCCTGGTTACAAATGAGTAGATCTTTAACTTGAATTTGTAGGTCAGTCAGAACAGGTGCCAAAGGTTCTTATTTACCTGTAATTTAGTTCAAAAAAAGGCTTGAAACTCTCCAAGATTTAAAAGCTGAACGTGCAGCAAGTGAAGGTGACTGTGACAAAGAATTTGTTGGAAATATGGATGGGTTGGTTCAATAGTTTCAAAGTGAGAGCAAATTTACATAACATTAAAGCAGAGGTTTGAAACAGTGCTGCCCTACTCCAAGATGGTCCAGTCCCACTCAGAGATGACAGCCAATCACGCTGCATTGAATGTTTACGGTCCACAATCCTGCCAAATAATCAAATCTCATGCATTAAGCTCCTGAAAGGAGGCTCTTCTGAGCCTCCCATTCCAGGGCTTTGACCTGTAATTTTTCCCTTTCTGGTTACCATGAGGAGTCACCCAAATTGTAAAATTTCAGTCTGTTCTCTTTTTCTTTTCATTGATCATGAAAGACCCAGTTCAAAGTTCTTCATTAAATGCCCAATAGGAGTTGTCCATAATTCGGACACTTACAACCTGGAGATTGCCTGTATGGAGGTAAAAACCAGATGAACAAATGAAAAAGATGAAAGTGGTGCCTCTGGGTAATGAGATTAAGGAATGGAGAAGAAAGAAGCAGAGAGCTGCTGTTCACTGATATATCTGATTATTCAACAGTGTGTTATACATCATTGCTGCTGTTAGGCGCCACTGAGTCGAGCAGAACTGCACTAGAGGGTTTTCCAGGCTGTAACCTTTATGGGAGCAGATCGCTAGGCCTTTGTCTTGCAGAGCCCCAGGTGAGTTCAAACCCCCAGTCTTTTGGTGAGCAGCTGACTGCTTAACCATTCGCACCACCACGGCTCCTTGTGTTACATGTTAGTTTGACAAAATTAAAAGTTAAAAATGTGCAGAGGAGGAATTGGGAATTGGATATGAAAGGATAAGTATGAAATGAAAGGATGAGGGCTGCAAAATTAAAAGAGCCATGCTGGGTTTGAGAAGGTAGGATAGAAAGCTAGGAAAGGGGAGAAGGTAGCCTGTTATCCCTAAGCCTTGCTTAAGGGTCTGCAGTTGTTAGGATTTAGAGGGGCTCGAAATGCCCAAGAAACATTTGTAAATAAGTATACACAAAAAATAATAACCAGAGATTCTAATATTTAGCTTGATTTCAGTCTGTTGGCTCCCCTATGGTCACATATAAGCAGCTCTAGTGGCGTGGTGCCTAAGACTTTTGACTGCTAACCAAAAAGTTACAGGTTCAACCCACCAGCCACTCCGTGGAAAGAAGATGGGGCAATCTACTTCTGTAAAAATTACTGCCTTGGAAAACCAAAAGGGGTCACTATGAGTCAGAATTGACTTGATGGCAGTGAGTTTGGTTTGGTTTTCTAGTGTGGCCTCATATGCATACAGTACTACTTACTCTATCCCTGTGGAAGAAGGGTATCACTTTGGCATATGCTAGCCACTGGAAGGATTCCTTTATCTATATTTGAGTTCTCAATACCAGAATAATGGTATGTGTATGAGGGGATCCAGTCTTTATTTATTTTAAAAAAAATTAAAATTAATTAATTTTATTTTTGCAGTGTTTCCTCCCCTCCGAGGGGATTCAGCCTTACACAGCAGGAAAAAAATAATGGCCAGGTAAGAAAAGGGCAGATTGGGAAGCACGAGCAGTACAATAATGTGAAGAGACAGAGCTAACAGAAAAGTTGAAGAAAGAGTGGCAATGAATAGAAAGAACTTTATTTAGAATCAAAGAGGTACAAAGGATTTAGCTACAAAAATAGGGAGACACAGATCTGGAGGGCTGACTTCAAACATGGCTAACAGTTTTAATGTGATTCCAAAATAGAAACTTTTAACCACGATTCTATATCACCATTGACTTTAAGGGAAGCCATGCACCTACCCTTTCAGGAGCATAAATAGGATATGAGGATGAGCACTGATGTACTCCACAGTAGGGCTCCGAGTGCCTATCTGTCTTCTCAGGATGTTATTAAATATCTGGGTCACATCTTTCTTTCCCTGTTAAAGAAACAAACAAGAAATGAATTATACACTTTATATGAGCAAGTTGTATGATATATGAATTCTATCTCAAAAGCTCATACGACACACACACACACAGAGAGAGAGAAATAGAACTGCCCTTTGTATACAAAAACATTAGATAATTTACTCTTTACAAGCTGCACTTTAAAACACAAATTCAACAAGACAGACACAGCCCTTTCCACAGTATTTACACTGTGGGATATCTGAGCAATTGCAGGTCCGTTTCTCACAGAAGTAAACAAAAAAGCATAACAGGATATAAAACAGCAGTGAAGAGGAGAAATTGTACATTTTTTTTACCTTTGAAGAAAATTGTAATTAACATTGTTTAAACCTTCATAAATAAGAAAGGAAAACATATGAAGAAAATAAAGTGAAGATTTTAGTAAATTTATGTGGGTTAGAATCAAACCCCTTTTTCTTAGATATATGTACTTTTTGTTAATTTTTTCCCTTCACTTTATCATTCCCAACCCCTTCTTGGTGTCGTAATTTTAAAAAAAAAGGGAGTTTTCTATGAGTTGAGTACATTTGACCTATATGATCTTAAGAAATCATATCCAGCCTAGAGGAATAGAAGTAATTATGCAGTAATGTTGTTGCTGTTGTTGTCATCGTTATGTGCCGACTCATGGTGACCCCTCCTTGGCTTTCTGAGCCAGTATCACTACAGAAGTAGATTGCCCAACCTTCCTTCTGAGGAGTGGCTTGTGGGTTTGAATTGGTTTGTCATTCCTTCAATATTCATTGTATCCTGAGAAAATTTCTTGGTAAATAATTTCAGAAAACAATGTAAATTTTAATAACTTAAAAGTTTTGGTTGCTGAGACTTCCAGTAAGATGGAGGAATAGGCAGACAAGTGACACAGACCCTCTTCAGCAAAGAAAAGAAAAACCAATTGACAGAGATATAGAAAATAATCCTGGAGCCTGAGCTTTGAAAGGAACTATACAGAAGTGGATTAGGCACCAATAGTGGAAAAACCTGAATGAAAACAGTGAGTACAGAGACAGTTGGAGCTGCAGACTGTCAGCTACTCTGACAGGACCAACAGCCGGAATATTTCCAAGTAGTGTTGGGACCTGAGAAATGACCTAAAGATCAGCCCTGGTCACCAAGGGCTACAGGGATGACTGCACTGGTGGCCTATGACTAGGAAGGGAAACAGCAAGAAGGGAGACTTTCCACTGTCTGGAGGGTGTAGCCAGTTTGATTGTTTACATGTGGCAGCCATTTTAGATATTTAAAGTGACTGAGGGTGCAGTCATTTTGAATGTTTGCAAATAGTGGCCATTGTGTATATTTAAAGTGACCAAGCATGCAGCCATTTTGAATCTTTACAAGTGGCAACCATTTTGGATTTTAATGTGTTAGGATCTCATTCAGATTCCTAGGACCTAACAATAGGCTGTGTTTGGCAAGGTTGGCAGGGACATACAAGAGGCTGACAAAAGGAAAGGAGACAGGTGGTGAGTGTAAGTGCTGTCAACTAGCAAATAGAGGAGCACAGTACCCTGCCTGCATAGATAACATACAAACAAAACAAAGAAAATGAAAATCGTGGACAAGTCAATCCAACATACAATCACCAATTAAATATAAACACAAAAATGTCACAATGCCTCCGAGACAAGAGAGCATCACAGTCCACACAAAGAAGCAAGATAAAGAAGGAGAAACAAGGGACCAGGATACAGACCCAAAACACATCCCAGAGGAAGATGCAGCATTTGAATTCCCTGATAAAGAATTCAAAAGAATTATATTTAGGTATCTTCAATGAATTGAGAGACAGATCAAGGAAAACACAGAGAAAACCCTAGAACAATTTCAAAAGACAATACAAGAACAAAATGACAAAATAAATGAAAAATTAGAAATGATACAAAATATACACACAGAAATCCAGAAGATTAATACTAAATTTTCAGAAA